TTTTGTTGTTGTTAGAAATCCCGAGATAGTAGCCGTTGGGTGAGAACATGGCTTAAGATAAATCAGACACTCAGCTGCAGAGGTCTGGAAAAACAACAAGTATACTGAAGACAGCAGCTGAGCATCTTAAAAAAGCTGTGACAGTGCTGAGGTTTCTGCTTCTTTAAGATTATTTTCATCAGCTGGTGTGTTTAGCTGTGGTAGAGTGGTGATATTGCAGGCTGTTATATGAACAAGGCACAGCTGTGACCCTCAGGATATGGCCTGATTGCATCATTAAAAACTGTCTGTAAAGCCTGTCTACTGCCTTCAAAATACTCACGCTTCTCTAATAGCCAAGATCAATTTGTTTCGATAGCTTTCTTTAAGAGAAGTATTCAAAAAACCATCAGAGGGTTGGCAAAGTCTCTCTGCAGCATTTCTTAATGACCTTCAGCTGTGGCATATTGAAGACATTTTTAAAGAATGACTTGTATAGAAAAGAGGAAAGGGAGAAGTGTTTCTAGCTTTCAGGGTTAAGCAATGGTGAACTGCCTGTCTGAGCTAGACAGCCTGTTGCTTGTTTTCAGTGTATAACGCAAACAACTCAAGTTCCATTTCCACTCTAATCTTCTTCCACAAGCTCATTGTGTACTATATATATTCAGATGAACAGTGAACGGCTAATTCATTTGTAGCAGGGAGTCTCTGTTATATATTTTCACATCCAAAGCCCATCTTTTAGCCCTAGGAGCACTAATCCGTGCATTATCCTTTTGTTATTGTTTTAGATACACAGCAAATGAGGGACTTTTACACATTCTGAAGGCATTCAGCTAATTTCTTTCAAAACCAGGGAGTTGAATATCAATGCATTTTGTGTTTGAATAGATTTCGAAGCTAACAGAACTATTATGGGGGGACTGCTTCCCTTTTGCCCCTGGAACACTGTGAGCATAGCACAGAAGCTCTTCACTACTTAAGCTGTTAGTATGTTCAGAATGAACTGGTTTGTACAATGTTTTGTCGACATCTGAAGACAAAGGTTGTTTTAGCTGTGTTATAGATGCTCTTCTCTCCTTTAAAATGGGGAGAGCAGTAAGATGCTGTTCTCTCCTTTAAAATGGGGAGAGCAGTGCACACATTTGGTCAGAACTCTTCAGAGACATTCAAGGCTTGTACTGACTGGTGCATTGTCAGCTTTGGAAAGTTACATAAACTGTCACAACCCTCCACACTATGCAATGCAAGATGGTAAAGTAATTGTACCTCAGCTTATACAACTCCTGTACTGCTCCTGTCGGGGCGGTTCAGGCTGTCATAACCCAGGTCCATAATGAGACAATTTAGATGTCTCCTGCCGTGGCGAACTGTCAGCCACCGCTTGGCACTTGGGTTCAAAGGGAGAACATCTCGTGATTCTCCTGACAAATCTCAACCCATTCAATCTGGCTACAGGACAGAAAAGTGTAATGATAGCTGCTAAAAATAATCTGGTCTCCAGATAATACTGGCGGTATAGATTAGCTCCTGCAGCCTGTAAAAAAAAAATTTCAGTGTGTCAGA